TATTTCATTCTTGAGCTCGAGGAGTCCTTGGGACTTGAGGATTCTGCATGAGACAGGGCTTCGAGTTGTTTGCTTTTTGGAGAGGCCTAGGTTACTTGCCTGGGGCAAGGGTGTGAGGTGATGGCCTGTTCACGATGCTTTGGGTTGCTTGCATGGGAAAATTCTTTGATGTGCTCGCTCGAAGGCAAGACTTTGATGTGCTTACACGGGGCAAGGCTTTGAATTGCTTGCACGTTGGCAAGGCTTAGAGGTGCTTGCTCGGGGCAAGGCTTTACGGTGTTTGCAAGGCTTTATGGTGCTTGCTCGGAGCAAGGCTTGTAACTGCTTGCACGTTGGCAAGGCTTAAAGTTGCTTGCACGTTGGCAAGGCTTAGAGGTGCTTGCTCGGGGCAAGGCTTAAATATCGTGACATAATGGCCCGAGGCGTGAAGGTCCCATTTTGTAGGAATCCCCATAATCTCCTCGGGCTCATCCCTCATCGGGATCAGGCATCCATTACTTAGGGCTTTACGTCAGGGCTAATCCTGCCCCAAGGAGTAAAGTCCTACTAGCATTATAATACCTCATCCTAAAAGGACTCTTTCACCAGAATTCTATCCTAATCCAAACACACTTAGGAATTACCAAATCAATTATAACTTCTAATCCTGGTAGGACTCCTAGGGATCTCAACGTCATGATTCTATTAGGATTGCACCTCCTACCTCTATAAATACATCATTCCAATTCATTGTTAAGCTACACTTTTACACATAATATTACAACATATTTTATTTTCATACTCTCTTTGACTTAAGTATCGGAGGGGCAACGAGGATACACCCCGCTGCCTTCGTTTCAGGTATTGAAGAAGACCAGATCGCGTGGAGTTCTCTCGTGCAGCTTGAATTCATCCTCAATGAAATAATGTTTATTCCGTCTTGTTGACTCGATCTCGAGGACTCTTAAACCCAATCACTGAGACAACTTTTATTCCATCAAGTTATGGTCTTCTCGAGGAGCCTTGTTAACTCAATCTCGAGGAATGTAAACCCAACCACTGATATGATTTTTATCCCATCGAGTTATGGTCTTCCCGAGGAGTCTTATTAGCTCAATCTTGAGGAATATAAACCCGACCACTGAGATAATCACTGGTCTATCCAAGGTGTCGATGTTAACATAGTCTCAAGGTCTGTAAACTCGATGAAATGAAACAATGTTTATTTCATTCTTGAGCTCGAGGAGTCCTTGGGACTTGAGGATTCTGCATGAGACAGTGCTTCGAGTTGTTTGCTTTTTGGAGAGGCCTAGGTTACTTGCCTGGGGCAAGGGTGTGAGGTGATGGCATGTTCACGATGCTTTGGGTTGCTTGCATGGGGAAATTCTTTGATGTGCTCGCTCGAAGGCAAGACTTTGATGTGCTTACACGGGGCAAGGCTTTGAATTGCTTGCACGTTGGCAAGGCTTAGAGGTGCTTGCTCGGGGCAAGGCTTTACGGTGCTTGCTCGGAGCAAGGCTTGTAACTGCTTGCACGTTGGTAAGGCTTAAAGTTGCTTGCACATTGGCAAGGCTTAGAGGTGCTTGCTCGGGGCAAGGCTTAAATATCGTGACATAATGGCCCGAGACGTGGAGGTCCCATTTTGTAGGAATCCCCATAATCTCCTCGGGCTCATCCCTCCTCGGGATCGGGCATCCATTACTTAGGGCTTTACGTCAGGGCTAATCCTGCCCCAAGGAGTAAAGTCCTACTAGCATTATAATACCTCATCCTAAAAGGACTCTTCCACCAGAATTCTATCCTAATCCAAACACACTTAGGAATTACCAAATCAATTATAACTTCTAATCCTGGTAGGACTCCTAGGGATCTCAACGTCATGATTCTACTAGGATTGCACCTCCTACCTCTATAAATACATCATTCCAATTCATTGTTAAGCTACACTTTTACACATAATATTACAGCATATTTTATTTTCATACTCTCTCTGACTTAAGCATCGGAGGGGCAACGAGGACACACCTCGACACATTCGTTTCAGGTACCGAAAGACCTCGTTCGTACTCATTCTCAGTCGTCAAGCTCGAAAGTCGACAGGTACGATTTTTGGTAGCATCAGAAGTAATTCGACAATAATAATTTCCATTTTAAAAGAAACATGTTTGCTTCATTCTTAATCAAACTTTAAAGTTCATTCAATATGTACCTAGATTAAGGAACTAATAAAATTCTCATCCAAACATACATTCCCCCCAAGGAAATTACACCCAACTCTACTTTTAAATTACCATTTTCATAAATCCTAATTTAAGTTTCATATTTCAAAAATGAGGTTTTAATTAATTTAAAAATATTTTTTTTATTTTTATTTTTATATCTATTTACCGTAAATTCATTTATATAACTCTCCTTACCCTACGTACCCCGAACCCTAAATCAATTGATCCCTCAACCTCTCCACTCAATTCCGCAGCCCGTCTCTCTGCACTACTCCTACGCCGCTGCCTCGGCCGTTGGATCTTCTTCTTCTCCTCTCCCTATCTTGTATTCACTATTCTCTCGTCACTTTCCTTAGATTTTCGCAGATCCAATCATTTTTCCATCTATCTCACCGTTCTTCTCTTGCAGATCCAACCGTTTTTTTAAACCTCCGATGCTGCAACCGTCTATCTCTGTCGTTTCTTTCTTTTTCTTTTTTGTGGCGCGGTGGTTGTGGTGTTGGGATGTAGCGGTGGCTGGGGGGTTTTTGTGCGTGGGTGCGACAAGTTTTGCGGTTGGGTGTGTGTGCGACAGATCTGTTTTTTGGTGGAGGTGCGACGGTCGTGGAATTTAACGGGTCTATTTGGACTCCATCGTTAGTCCGTCGATTCGGTTGGATGTCGTACGTGCGTGCGGTTGGGTTTGTGTGTGGGTACGGCGATGGTAGAGGTGCAGTTCCAATTTTTTTTTTTTTTGTTTTATTTTGAGCGGTTAGGTCTCGTGGAGGTGTAGATCTGTTTGGGTGTGGTTGTGCACGTGTGTGGGCGACGACGGTATGATGGTTGTGTGGCGGTGGTGGTTGTAAATGGTGCGATGTCGTGGCCGTTGTGGTGGATATTGCGCTGGAATTGTGGATCTGAAGTTGTTGGCATGGGTGGCTGTGTGTTCTATGCTGTTTGGCGGTGTGTGGCGACGTGGTTTTTGGGGTGGTGATAGTGGTGTTGGGGAGGGTGTTGTGTTGGTTGTGAGATGTTGACGTTGGGCGACGACGGTGGTGGTGTCGTTGGCAGAGGCAGTGGCGAAGTGGTGGTCACAACTGATTTTGGTGTGGTCACAAATGATTTGGTTGTTTGTGACCAGTAATTTGGTTAGTTTGTGACCAGTAAATAATATATGACCAATGAATTAGATAAACCGTGACCAATAAATGCTTTGTGACCTTANTGACCTATAAAATTTTTGAACTGTGACCATTAAATAATCTGTGACGCATAAAAATTAGTATTTGTGACTAAAAAATAATATGTGACTAATTCAATTATAAATCTGTGACCGGAATGATTACCGGAATAGGCGCGGGATTCGGAGCAGCCGTCGAATGGTCGCCGGAGAAGAGTGGTGGGCGGAATGGGTGCCGGAATAGTCTCCGGAGCGGTAGGGGTGGTGAAGGTAGGGTGGGATAAATATATTATATTAGAATTAAATATTTAATAATAAATTGATTTGATAATTTATTAATTCATGAATAAAAAATTAAAAAACCCGATTTGTGAAATTTGGAACTTGTTTTGGTATTTTTGAAAATGGGTAAAGTAAACACTTTAGAAATATATTGTTCCCTTCTTTTTTTCAAGTAAAGCCCCATCTCAATCTCGTGTGCCTTTTAGGCTCTACTATTAACAGACGGAATGAGTTAATAAGCGCACATTCTCCTCCTGAATGATGTAGGGATGGTCATTTGACGAGCCCGAACGGCTCGTGGCTTGTTTTTTCATGAGCCGAGCTGATTGCCGTTCATGTCTCGGCTCTGCCGCTTGGCTCGATTGACACCACTAGGATGATGGGACTTTACGAGTAAGTGTATTTACCCTACAATATTACTTTTGCGAGCATGGAAAGAGTACTAAACATTGAAGTAACTTATTTTCATATTAGGAAAACGACGTACATCTCTTTTTAAATCTTTTTACTTTACTTTATATATAGGAATATATTAGTAATTTTATGTCAAACTATCCACCATATAGGCGGGAAACACGTGTGTAGTATTAGGACCACGAAATCTTTTGAAAGAAAAAAAGAGTAAAGTTCTCTCATCCTTAGGCCCCGTTCGGGAGTGATTAAAATCCAATTAAAATTGAAAATATGACCGTTATTGGACCCCACCCGTCTAATAAAAGTCAACAATAACGGCTATATTTTCAATTTTAATCCGATTTAAATCCCTCCCATACAAGGCCTAAATAACAGAAAAACTTTTATGTACGTTACTATTTGAACTTCATTTTGAATTGGTATCCCTCCCATACAAGGCCTAAGTCGTGTGCATATAAATTTCGTACATTATCCATAAACTGGCGAAAGTTCACGTCAGATTCTTGTGTAGGTATATGAGCACCCCCCACACCACCCACCAATAGGGTGGCGCCACAGTTGTACAGGGCCCATGTTAGCACAACTTGTATATGATATTGTTATATGAAAACATTGAAAAGAAAAGAAAATGACCCTCATGCATGACTTTTATTTTTGCTTTTCGAGAAAACTGCTTTAGCTTGACAAAACACTTTCATAAAATTACCTAAAACAAGTTGAAAAACAGCTTCTTAATTTCAAAAGAAGATTTTTTGACCTTTTAAAAGTCTTGTCAAACAGGCCTTAAAAAATGAATACTTATATTCCTAAAAGTATGGATCGTCATACTAATGGAATCTCTCTCCGTCTACTGTCCCACGTGTTTCTCTTTCTATAAATATTGGTTTACAATGTGTGTTATGAATTGCAGGTCCAAACTAATTAATTTGGCGAAATCAGTTAAAATGGTGAGGTTTTCAGCGTTCATGGTTTTGGCTTTTTTGTGCTTGTGGGCAACTGCTATAGAAGCAGAAGAACACCCAAAATACAAAGACCCAAAACAGCCGTTGCATGTCAGAATCAAGGATCTCATGAGTAGAATGACCCTTGAAGAAAAAATTGGCCAGATGACGATGATCGAGCGGAACGTTACATCCCCAGAAGTCATTAAGAAATACCATATAGGTAAGTATTTTTCAAAGATTTTAATTTATTGAGTATTTGGGAAGATTTCGCCATGGATTGAATGTCTCTTGTAATTTGGGAAGATTTCGCCATGGATTTAATGTATTTTGTTCGACTCTAAAATTAATATATATGATATTGCAGGGAATATTTTGATTGCTGGAGGGACTGCACCAGCTCCCCAAGCTTCTGCTGAGCAATGGATGGATATGACTGATGAATTCCAAAAGTGGGCTCTTTCCGATCGTCTTCGAATTCCAGTTATTGTAGGAATTGATGCTATTCATGGCCATAACAATGCCTACAATTCCACTATTTTCCCTCACAATGTCGGCCTTGGAGCTACCAGGTAAGCTTTCTGTTCAACTTTCTCATTCAAAACCTTTGACTCAAAACAAACAGATTATGAACGTGTTTGGTAAGGCTTTTGAAAAGCAAAAGGCGACTTCTGAATCTGTTTCAATAATTTTTTGAAAAGTGAGAAGAGCGGTTAGAAGAAACTCTGGTTTTCTCACGAAACTCCTCTGTAAAAATAAAAAACAGAAGCCCTTCCAAACGGGCCTTACGTCTTTAACACGCCTCCTTATATGCGTTATAATAGGGATCCCCAACTTATTAAAAAGATCGGGGCTGCAACTGCTCTTGAAGTCAGAGCTACAGGAATCCCTTATGCTTTTGCTCCTTGTATTGCGGTAAATATATGTTCCTTCTACTATATCACATTTTTACTGCAAAATTTAATCATTTGAAATGAAACAATCATTCAAATTCTCCCATATTCCAACTATCTATAGTTAGAAAATAACACCACAACTAATGGTTCGTATACTTGGTTTACAGGTTTGTCGGGATCCTAGATGGGGACGTTGTTACGAAAGTTACAGTGAAGATCCCAAAATTGTACAAACAATGACTGAGATAATACCTGGTCTCCAAGGAGACATTCCAACCAATTATCCAATGAATTTTCCATACATCAATAATGACAGGTATAAATTTTCTTTCAATAGATTTAGCAATGAACTGAGAAGAAAGGAGAAATATGATTCATATTGCCGAAACCAAATTTAGGGGGAACGAGAGTTAGTTTATCATTGATGTATAGAATACTTATGGAATATATTGGTGATTTCAAGAATTATCGATGGAATTTCTGTAGTATTCCGATGATATATTCAGTTATTCCGATTAATTTTCGGTTTGTGAAGGATAAAAGTTGCAGGGTGTGCAAAGCACTTTGTGGGAGATGGTGGCACAATTAATGGTATTGATGAGAATAATACTATCATAGACTGGAATGGATTAAAAAATATCCATATGCCTGCCTATCATGATTCTGTAAGAAAGGGTGTTGCAACTATTATGGTATCCTACTCAAGCTGGAATGGGAAGAAGATGCATTCTAATTATGATCTCATCACAGGGTACCTCAAGAATAAGCTAAAATTCAAAGTAAGCATTCTTAATAAATTGCTTACTTTATGCAACTCATTCCTTAATTTTGTCAATTTAGACTGGTTCTCTGTGTTGTATTTCAGGGTATTGTCTCATCAGATTCGGAGGCTATTGATCGAATAACATCCCCGCCACATGCTAACTATACTTATTCAGTTCAAGCTAGTATTCAAGCTGGAATTGATATGGTCAGTATTGTAAAATGTGTTCACATGTAGCCGATCCAAACGTATTGGGAACCACGATTAATTTGTTATTTGTGAACTAAAAGAAACGATCTTGATTGATTTTTCGTAGGTCATAGTTCCATACAAGTTCCTTGAGTTCATTGATGACCTGACCTTACTGGTGAAGAAAAATGTGATCCCAATGAGTAGAATTGACGATGCTGTGAAGAGGATATTGAGGGTCAAATTTATGTTAGGACACTTTGAGAATCCAATGGCTGATCGAGCCTTGGCGAGTCAACTTGGAAGTCAGGTCGATAATCAGAGACGCTTTTTACACATGTATTATCCCATTTTTCCTTTGATAACAATGGAAAATGTTCATATGATTAATTTTTCTTCAAACAGGAGCATAGAGAATTGGCTAGAGAAGCTGTGAGGAAATCACTCGTTCTTCTCAAGAATGGAAAAAATGGTGACGAAACTTTCCTTCCTCTTCCAAAGAAAGCACAAAAGATACTCGTGGCAGGAACTCATGCTAACGACATTGGAAATCAATGTGGAGGATGGACAGTAGAATGGAATGGCCAATCGGGTGACATTACAGTCGGTATGTTCTATATCCCAAAATAAGTTCATATATGAAATATAATCCTTAATTTACTCAATAAACAAGAATTTACTCAGAATACAGAACCAGAAACGGAATTCATCTGGTTCGTGTTGTTTGACAGGTACTACAATCTTGACAGCTGTCAAGAACACTGTAGATACCAGCACAGAAGTTATATACAGTGAAAATCCCAACAGGGAATTCTTAGACTCCAATGACTTCTCTTATGCTATTGTTGTTGTGGGTGAACTACCGTATTCAGAATCTGTCGGAGATAGCAAAGACCTGAAAATAGCTGAACCAGGATACAGTACAATAACTAATGTGTGTGAATCTGTGAAATGTGTTGTCATTGTCATTTCTGGGCGCCCAGTCATAATAGAACCTTACCTCGAAAAAATGGATGCACTTGTGGCTGCTTGGCTTCCGGGAACAGAAGGCCAGGGTGTCGCCGATGTTCTTTATGGCGACTATGGTTTCACAGGGAAGCTTGCCCGCACTTGGATGAGAACGGTCGACCAGCTTCCGATGAATGTTGGTGATGCAAATTATGATCCTCTATTTCCATTTGGTCATGGCCTTACAACCACACCTAGAGAACAAATAGCAGCCCAGTAAATCATTGAACACTTATTATTCAGTTGTTTGTTTACTGTTTGATTAAATTTGTTCTCCAACATGAAAGTAAGTTACAAGTTTTTTGTGAAGCTTACAGTTATCTTTGGGGGAATTAGTTGGAAGACAAAGTTGGAAGACAAGAACTCCTCCTTGTGATGAGTATATTCAGATGTAGAAAATATTTGATTTAGAAGATATTGTGTGTCACAAGTTATTTTGTTCATTTCAATTTTTAAGAATATATGATGTGTTCTTCGTTTTTTAAGGTATAATTTCTAGTAGGGGGTGGGCAAAACCCGATCGAACCCTCCATAACCGCCCAACCCGACCGGTTTGGGTTGATTTTTTTGTTGTTTTTACATGAGTTTGGTGTGAGTTTGGTGGGTTGATTGTATAGGCGGGTTATGTGTTAACTCATAAAAATCGAATGAACCCGTCCAACCCAACCCCCGACTATATTTATGAACTTTACAAGTGTTATGATATTGTTTGGAAACTTTTAGAATAATATTATAAGATTTGGATAGAATGCATTTTACGAAAAACAATATAAGCAAATATCCATTCATCACAAAAATATTTTAATTGCAAAAAACATTTCTTGACTTTATGTAATTTAATATTAATTTGTCCATATAACATTTTCAAGCATAAAGTGCCAAAATAATTCAGATTTTTTTTTTTGTTCAATGCAACTATGGAGACCAAATATTATATAAGTCATGAGTCAATTATAAATCCGTTCAACTTGACCCACCTACTTTAGTCTTTGTTGATAAGTTGTTCCAACCCGACCAATTCAACCCAACCCAACCCAACCAATACTTGATTGGGTTGGGTTTCAACTTTTACATGGGTTAGGTAAGGTTAAATTATGATCAAACCGATCATGTTGGGTTGGATTTGAGTTGAAGCAAAAACAGACCCAACCCAACCTAACCTATGCCCACCCCTTTTCCAGTGTTGGATAATTTTCATGCAGGCAAACCTTTTACAAGGCATATCACAACAAAAAAAATTTGCTCGCGAGTCAAGGCTTTGGTTCAAGCAACTTATTTAGTATGTGTACAGATACTTTAAAAAGATTCATTTTGCGTTAGAACCAAATACAAAGGAACTGAACTACCACACACAGGACGGACGCAAACATTTTGAGTTTTGGGGCACGATCAAAACCTGTGCAAATCGAATACTTTGTTCTTGATTTTTGAATAATTCATTGATTTGAGACAATACAAATTTACGTTTAAAAAACATTTCATCATTAATATTTTCCTAATCATTTTCATACATTTGATTTCGAAGAGTCATTTTATTAATGTTTTGTTTATCACAAGAAAATACATATTTAAATTTAAAAATCTTATAATGTATTTGATACAAACAATCAATTCAAGTAATCGAAAGAAAAAAAAATATAACTAATAATTAATACTAATAATCAATCAAATAAACACAATTCGGTAAATGTAAGTCAAATTTGATATAATGAGTTCAAACACATTCTATATACACAGTTTGATATGAGAAAATACAAATTTAGGTTCTAATTACTGGAAAATTTGATTGGAAAGTGAAGATTTGTAGTAAATGTGATAATTTGTAGAGAAATTATATACAAATTTTAAAAAATTTGAAGGGTTAAGATTTTGTTAAAAGACGAGAGGAAAATAGTAAGAGAGAGCAAGAGAAAAGAGAAATCAAATTTATTGTAACTTTACCCCTATTTGGTGGATATTAAAATCAAATTTTTAGTAAATTTTGATAAAAGTTAAAATAGTTATGAATTTCATGAAACATGTTATTAAAATTAATTGTTAGCTTTGATTTAGATTAAAATTTAGATTTCAATCGATACCAAACATGACTTTAGAAAGAAAAAAAAAAGTTGGGGGTCACGTGACCCTCCAAGACCCCCTCGGGTCCGCCCCTGACCACACAGCTCTGGGTGCATAAAAACTTGAAATACTTTGCTAATCAAGGGGTAAGCAAGCTTTGTAGGTACCTCTCGACTGTATCGAGCCCACAGAGTTTCTTAACGACAGGCATGGTAGCCGGGACCTCCAACTGGAAAGTAGAATCAGAACCATCTAATACACTGCCCCAAGATTTGAGCTGTTTCCTGGCTTCCTTAATGGCTGCTCTAGTAGCACAGTGAACTGAAGAGGCCAAAAGCAATGGTGGTTCACCTGAAGCTGCAAAATGTAAAACATTGGATTTAGTGTGCATACACAAATGCAATAGAGTGTTAGATGTGATTGATTAAACCTGGTTCTAACTCCAAAAGAAAAAATAAGCCAAAGAGGAATTAGGAAAAACGAGTATAGAACACACTGGTCAACAGTGGTTCGTCCGGACCTACATCTGCTCACCCATGCAGATTTTTCACTATAACGAATGAGGAGGTCACAAGGTTTACTTCACACATATCCGCACACACTAAAAAAAGGTCACCTCAGATTCCTTTATAAAACATAGAGAGGTAGGGCAACCTAATACGAAAGTATGAATGCACAATACATCCCTATGAAGAATAAAAAATATCACAAAATGCAACATTAGATTTTGTGAAGTGCCCAGTTAAGTGTTCCATACTAGATTACGACAGCCTGATCATAGATATATACTTGACAATACAACCGTGTTCTTAGTTTTAAAACATCTGCAATAGATTCTATGTTCGGAAATTGAGCTCGAAACTTTTTTAGCTTCCAGCTTCCAGCATTGTTCCATTTGGACTATTCAACATATAATTAGGCCGTTGATAGGTCTTCCTCCATTCGGACTCCCAACATGAAAATAGATGCTAGCGATTCATTTTATATATGGTCTTTAATATGCCCTCCCACGTGAAACTCAGATTCATTTTACGTGTTGGTGAGTTTTGGACTTCTATCAAACATATATATGTGCTTTTTCTGTTCCTTCAGGTTCAAAATTCTCTAGTTTATGGCAGCTCCGTGAGTTTCTTGGGACTTGAAATTTTCATATATACCTATCTTGTCATTTAATGATGCTATGAACAAAAAAAGAAATTTTCATATAAACCTATCTTGTCATTTAATTATGCTATGAACAAAATAAAATTATTTCAGTCATGGGCTTTCTGGTAAAGCCGTGGTTAATTTTTGAATGTAGTATTTTACTAAGTTTATGCATTTCTGGCTTATGTAGATCTATCTATGATCCATCAACTCAATTAATATTTGCTTTTTAGTCGTGGTTTCAGAAGCTTTTTTTTTCCACAAAATAGTGATCATGCAGAAGTCAAAACTTATTCAAGATAAAATCAATAAGCTGAAACTCGAACAACATACCCTTAGATGAAAGAACGCGTTTTTTATGACATCCACTGTTTAGAACCTCAACATTGAACTGTTTGGGAATAGTGTCAATAGTTGGAATTTTATAAGTCCATGTGCTATCTGCAATCACCAATCCCTCTGTATTAGTAAGATATTCTTCTAGCATAAAGAAGCCAATTCCTTGTACAAAAGCCCCTTCAATCTGTAAAAAGCAGATAATGGAAAACATTAGTTGATATTTGATTGCATGAGCTAGCAAAAAGAATAAAACAAGAATTCAAATGATCAAGAAGAAGCTCAACACCATTGCATGCTAAACAACAGTGGGGAAAATTTTAGAACAGTCTCCAACCTATGGAATGTTATTTAGGTAGCGCTGTCTCCCAACCTTTTACTTTTGTAGAGTTGTCGGTCGTATAGCAAAGTTTCTATTATCTATTTGGATATTAACAGTGCACATGCAATGCAAGTGAGCAATGTTTTGAAAGGTACAAGAGGCAACACAAATAATTTTAATGAAAACGAAATGAAAGAGAAAAAACAAAAACCTTAATACCTTCACAACCTAAGTGATTTTAACCAAACCCACCTCCACTAGGATATAATGGTAATTTTAATGAAAAACTTGACTTTTTAACAGATACATGGAAGGTTCCACACACTAGCCAATGATGTTACAAATTGAGAAGTTGGGAACAACATTTTCAAAAGATTAGGTTGGAAACCAAGTTGCTAGAAAGCTAATGGGTGGTCAGGGACCAATGGGGCAATGTTCCAACAACAAAATTAACCGGACAATGGATTTTTCAATCATGTACCTGTCCCAAATCCACAGCAGGGTTCATGCTTTGTCCACAGTCATAGATAATATCTGATCGCAATATTCTTGTTTCTCCTGTCAGAATATTCACTTCTACCTACAATATCCATGGGTTCAGTATAGTTATATTAGTGGTATGTGAGTCAACTATTTCCTGAACTCATTTAATTTAACAGATTACTGCTTAGTTAGGAGATAAAACGAGGAATGAACAATATAAATTTGATGATGTAATTTATGTAGCTCTAAGGGGTAAACTTGTTTGTTCAATCTGTTTAAGGAAAACAAGAAATGATTCAAACAGAAGAATTTACCTCACTTACTGCAGCTCCATAGTTCAGGTATCGTATTGAGCTGGACTCTGGCACATAATAAGAACTTGATACTAAGTTTACAGCTTGTAAATGAGCCTAAATTCAGAAAAGCCAAAAAATTGAACACTGTGATTTCTAAAGACAATATAATCGAGAAAGGTCTTAGAATAAAACATCAATGCTTTGTTACTCAAAATCATACTGAGGAAGCCTAATCATATCTTCCATCCATAAACATGATATTTATAAAGTAATCCTCCATTAATGTTGAGGGAGCCTAATCATACCGTATGCCGTCGACTTAATATTCCTACTATGTAAACGATTCATTAGGAGGCCATTTTGCGTGAGAAAAAAAAAGAGAGGATGAGAAACTTCTTCTCCATAACATGAAACCACTATAAATATATGTGCTCTTTGCTCGTTTTCCGCTAGCTTTTCTGTTCATTATTTTTCTCAGAAGTAGGGATCAGGGCATAATCCTAATATAAACAAGCCAGTTGACTGACTAATTTATACACCACTTTCCCAGTCGGATTTTTCTGCACCACTACACATGTTTGACTATCTAATTTACCATACAAGTTTCCAATGCTACCGCCTGAGAAGAAAGGATATTAAGCTAAGGCACATTAATGAGTTGAAAGAAGGTCCACAGCAGAAAAGGGATGTTCAAAGTTACATGTGCTGATTCTGAGATAAAGGTAGGGTGGAAATCAAGATAGTGAAGGAAGGAACCTGGAGAATCAGGATATCCCAGTTCACGAAATCCATTTGCTCTTGCAACTGTTTCTTAAGAGGGGCTAGTCTTTCGACCAAAACATTGCAGCATAGTCTAACTGCTTCACAACTTGACTCAGATGTCGTGCTCCCAGCAGTGAACCCTCCTTGAATTAAGCTCAAGGTATCCGACTGTATAACTCTTACTTTCTCGACAAGATTTTCACTTCCATCGCATTGAATTGTACTGAGAGCATAAGCCGTCATTTGTTTTACCTTTGTCCACAACCCCTGGCCCAATTCTATACCTCCAACTTCTACAACAATAGATCCATCCCAAAGAATGCTCACTTTTCCTGGGGCCGGTCTTACTAAAACTTCATGCACAATTGGCACTCGAGAAATTCCCCGTTTCCTCCATTTGTGAGACCCATTGAACTGTTCTATCATAGCAATCCGATCGACATAGCTTGATGATCTGGCCAGCTTATCCCATATAGTAGGCAAAGTATACTCTATGGAGTCCCCAGCGGCACTCCCATAGAACAAGTTAAGGCTTTCATACGTGTGAAGATTCCGTTTCCTTACAGAGTCCACTCCCATTGACAGCACAGAAGCTACATTCTCTATCACAGCATCAGCTACAAAAGATCCCTGCACCTCCCCCGGGGCACGCATAGCAGATTTGCTAGGATGGTTTGTTTTGCATACCTTTATATCAAAAGACAGAGCACCCCAATCATACTTTTTAAGTGCACCTAGTATGTTACTCGGCATTGCAGGGCTAATATCTGGCTTTATTCCCGCATTTATTAATATGTCAAGGTGCAATGCTGTTATCTTCCCGTTTGATTTGAATCCAACAGTGTAAGTTATCTTCATCGGATGCCTTCCTCCTGCCATTATCATGTCAGTCTTACGATCTAGATATATCCTGACTGGACGGCATAATTTGTATGCGGCAAGTGCACATGCTGTAGCAACCTGAAAAACACATATATGGCATTTGTATTGAGATTTTACACATAAAATAGATTTATTCTATCTACTTGAGCAAAGTCATCAAAAATAGATGATCTTCATGTTGTACATTGAACAGTTGGACTTTCATAGAACATAGATTTTTTTGGATATCTTGAGCGTGTTTGCTAAGATTAAAAAGTTAACTTATAAGTTAAAAAGTGGGTTTTTAAAGATAAAAATGAGCAAGTTACTTGACAGTTGGCGAGTTACTTTTGAAAATAACCAAAATTTGTTTCCTTACAATAAGAAAAAGTAACATATCCAAACATTTTGAAAACAAAAAGTTACTTCTTTTAAGCTTATCCAAATACGCTCCTTCTCAGACACACCGAGACACAGTCTTGATAAACTAATTGACAAGATTTTGGCTTTATAGAAGCTTAAGTAATAGTGATGCAAGTTAAAAGTAATATTGATTAATTGATAACTGCATCAGTTAGATATGAAAAATATAGAGGAAAAGAGAAGAATTGAATGGCACTTTGCTAGATACTTACAGGCATTGCTTTTATTGCCTTTCCACCAAAGCCTCCACCTACTCTTCTTGTAATCACACGGATATTATGCTCGGGAACACCAAGACATTTCGCAATTACACTATGCAAGAACTCTGGGCATTGAATTGAACTATAAATTACCATGCAGTTATCTTCATCTGGGATTGCTAAAGCAGTTTGGGTCTCCATATAAAAATAGTATTGCGAATTGAGCTTGACCTACAAGTATAAAAATGGACATAAGATACATTTATTCAAAAACTTGCATGGTCACATGTTGGCTAAGCTTATAAATAAATGAAGTTACTTTAGTGTAACCTTTCATTCCAAATATGTTTCGATAAGTTACTTTTTCTTACTTTTAAGTAAAAATAAATACTTGTTTTAAAAGTAAATCCAATCCATAGTCTCAAGGTCTATGAAGCACGAAGACCCATACTAGGGGGCATGCCTGTGTCCGTGTCCAGCACGTATTTTGTCGCGCCGGACACTGTCACACTGACACTCTTGGACAATCCAAGACGTGTTTGACAAACCACGTGCCCATGTCTTATATTTTATATATTTTTTAAAATTCTCAACGCTGGAGTATTACTTTAGGGACACTCCTCAAGCAAGTCTTCAACAAGTCTTGTGTCGTGCCCTATATTTAAATCCACGTGTCCGTTTCCTACCTTTTTGAAAATCACGTGGTGATAATATGTCTGTGTCATTTCCACGTCGTGTTTCCTTGTCCATTGGGCTTCTTAGATCAAAGTGGAAGGATTTGTAGGTACTTAGAACACAATGGATAAAACCTTTTGGAAACAAATGCAAAGTATACAAACTAATTGAAGTACCTCAGTAGAGAGAATCTTATGGTCAGCTTCAGCCATCCCTTTCACGAAATCGCCAACTTTTTCTGGGTATAAGAAAGGAGGAACGTCGAAAAAACTTGCTCTATCAACAGCCTCGTCAACGGTTAAAATGGGTGGATCTATAGTTTTGGTGTCATAATCAACCAGGGCCATTTTAGCAGCCACGTCAGCATACTTTTGTGTCTCCGCAAGCTACAGAGGATTCCATCCACAGAATTAAATTTGAGATCATAATTCGAAATTTTCATATGGAGAAGTGTAACTGAAACTCTGCAATCAATAGGACAAACATCCCAATCCTAGTAGGAAATATTGGGAGCATGGAATTACCACAAAAGCAATAGGCTCACCAGCACACCTAGTGAGATCGTCAGCAAATAAAGGTTCGAAACCAAACACTGTCTTGCTTCCAACGTTTTCCCCGCCTTCTGGGATGTCTTTGAAAGAGATAATAGCAGTAACCCCATTTGGTAGCGAGTCAGACTCAAAAGAAATGCCCTTCACACGTGCTAAAGGTTTGGTGCTATTGATAAATGCTCCATGAAGACAGTTTGGTGGTGATGGAATGTCATCCACATACACAGCTTCACCTGTAGAATAGACCAGAATAAGTACACTAAACAAGAACAACAAACTAAGCTTTGTTATCAATAAATTTGGGATCAGTTATATGCGTCCTTTTTTGCAACTCTGCTGGAAGATCTAAAGCATCAAGATCCAATCATCTCTATCAAACATGTCGTAAATGATTCCAACGAGGCTTCTCATAAGTTGAAACTCTTTTCAAAAAAAAAGTCTTTTATTTATTTAACAAGCCAAATGTATTTTCCCTCAAAATCAAGTTTACCAGCTACTATACTTTGAACTATAAGGAAATGAAAAGGTGAAAATTTTCAATATGCATTTTCAAGAACAGTTAAACCTCTCTTGTAGTCAGCATGCATATAGTGAAACTGGCCAAACAGATGGTTGGGAACTTCAATAATAAAGTAAAGGACATGACAAACCAGAAGCTTGAATGGCAGAACCAGATTTTATAATTGATTCACCAATTGGATAATACTCCCTACTGGATTCCACGACCTGATTTGCAGATGACAAAAATGTTGGTTGCACAATTTGACTATGATCATCGTCATTGTTCCTTTTGCAAGCTTCTTCCAGCAAAATGCCATCAGTTTTATCAAATGGGCCATCAGAAATCGCATAATCAACACTGTTTGAAAAGCTAAAAAGAAATGAAAATAGATAACTGACAGCTAAGCTGGACCGATAAGCAGCATGAGAAGTGCCATCCTCAGGTATCACAGAACTTTTAACTAATTCAACTGCTTTATTTAGAATGCCAACACTAAGTGTTTTCCCAGCCAGATATTCCTCAACTTCCCGTGCTCTTGTAGCACGTCTTGTCCCATAAGCACCAAAAGCCAATTGAATATTATTTACTAAAACTCCATTTTTATTGCAAGAAACATCAGCCAAGAAAGCAGCATTTAAATATGGTAATGCATTTCCAAGAGGCCGGGCTGCAGCACGATAGGATTCAAACAACAAGCCAGAACTAGTTTCGACAGAATCATTATTTCTTATTGGTTCCAAAAATGGGATATGAACACTTATAAGAACTATTCTGGAGTCCAATGGTGGCCTAGACAAAAATTCTTGTAGTGTAACTTTTTCGTGTTTATGACCTTCCAGTATGCTGACGCTCGAACCGACAGCAAGAAGCAACGTAGTTATATCTGAAGCAAAATAATTTCTCTGTGCCATCACTAAATTACCCCCTAGACTAGCAGAGTTCCTAATGAACCCTGAAGCAACCTTCTCCATATGGTCAGCGATTTTCTTAAACACCATATTTCCATCCAAACACGAGTTAAGTTTTTGTTCTTCCTTTAAATTGAAAATCACTTTTGAAATCGACACAGCTGCTCCGAATTCGAAACCTGAGTTATCCCTTCTAACCGCCGATAGATCTGGAATATACCTTAAATCAATATACTTATCATATATTTCTGTGTCCTTGTAATAACCAGTCCCTGTATTACCAACTACCAGCTTAATCTTTGTACCGTTTTGCACCACATCAGAGTGCAACAAGCTTAGAAGCTCCTGAATAGTTGCAGGAGCGTACCAAGAATTTCTTCTAGAATTCAAAAGAATTACAGACTTAACATTGTCTTTCAAGAATCGAGGATACATACAACTATGTTCCTTCGGACTATAGGATGGCAATCTACTTACTTTCACTTCCTTGGTATCTCCCTTTCTCCAGAAAGAATTGAACCCCAAATCCTCCATGTCAACATCATAAGCAAAACTTTTGCAGGCATCTGCAATGGGTCGATATCCTGTACATCTACAAAGATTTCCCGTTATAGCCTTTTCAGCTTCAGAAACTGTCAGCTTGGAGAGGCCGGGTGAGGGTTCGGGACTCTGTTTCTCTTCAGCATTGACGAGAGCCGAGAAAAGGGACATGCACATTCCTGGAGTGCAAAAGCCACATTGAGAAGCATGGAATCCAGCAAACCTTTGATGAATTGGGTGGAAACCATCTTTACTATTTCCAAGGCCTTCGCTTGTAGTAATTGAACAGCCATTTATACTGCAAATAAGCGTAAGACATGAACTGATGGTAAAATGTTCAACCTTTTTAAGTACAGGATCGTACTTAGACAGAAGAACAATACAAGCACCACAACCACCTGCAACAGTCCAATTTTCAAACATAAATGGTCTTGCTACAGTAAAAAACTAAAAAAATAAGCACTTAGAATTAGAAGAATTGAGTATTAGAACTTGACAGAACAAGATCATCTAGAACCTTCCACCCAAAGTTAGACAAATAAATTATCAAAGCATGACTCATTGGCCATACTTTATTTCTAAAAGAGTAGAAAGCAAACATAATATAATTTGTTTCCCCAATTACTTTTATTGCATCTTTTCATACTCATGCACATGTGGCAGAAACATTCCTAACAAATGACTGATGTGGCTGTCAGGTCAGCCATTGAAAAGTCAATTATTGCTATTAGGCGACAAGTCAAAATCATGTTATTCGGCCTAATATCGGCAAGAACGGAAAGACATAGAAATGTTCATATTATACAACTCAATCAGCAAAAAGGGACAAACACAAGCTTCAACATGATGTACTACTATCTGAGGAATTATAAAGGACATTCATTAAGGGCCTTTTTTGACTGTCCTTTTTGACTGTCCTTGGGATGGCAAGGTCAGCCTTGAGCTCAACTTCTTAAGCTTACCTCTCCCAAGAAAGCAGTGCACACCCTAGGGATTATAAACTGACAGAAGCATATAAAGTCTACATCCCACAAATCTGAAGCTATTAATAGACTTGGATGGCAACTTTAACAAATAAGTCCCAAGAAGTTTGACAATCACCTCTTCTAGGCAATTAGAACTAAAAATCTGAACTGACCACACAAAGTTCAACGAAACACCACTATCAGTCACCATCAGCCGAAGTTGACAACCAACGAAGATATTTTCTAGATATACTAAGTGGCCAAAGACTCCGTGCATGAGTTCCTTTACAATTTTAGTTTTAACTTTTGCTAAAAAACCTTTATACCACATTTGACTTAGTCATCAAAGTTTCTTCAGCCAAAGCATTCCCCCGATGTACAACGGCTGAGTAGGCTAACTGACCCCATAACTTGCAGACTTTCGGTACTCATTCACTTGGATGTTGACTAGACATTGCCACATACATTCGATAGTCAACAATTCTAACCCCTTTTGTCCCAACAATTCCTAAATAAAAATTTTCACATAAGAGAAACCAGATATTTAGGAATCAAAACATGTTGATATATAAAAAATCTGTGTTGCAAACCATCCAAATTAAATACACAAACAAGTAAAATTCAAGATCAAACAGCAAAAAAAGCACTGCCACAATCTTACATTTCCCAGGTGTTGAAATGAAAGATTAGGTAGTAACATTAACCAATATTAAGAGATTTGTTAGCTGTAAATATTTGCTGTTAATAGAATATTAGTCAATCCTGTAAAATAAGAAATTAGTTAGGCTAGCTAGCTATTGTAATCTTTTCCCTGATCTCTTGCTTGTATTCTCTCCTATAAAGAGAACCCCTGTAATCCTATGAGGTTGAGCTAATACAGAAAAATTAATTCTATTTTTTCTCATCTTTCATGTTTACATGGTATCAGAGCCACCCTAAAAGTCAATTTCTTTTCTGCAGACTTCTTTATGTTGTGCAACCATGTCTGACATTTCATCCTAGTCAACCCCATCTCTCAAAACCCAAGCCCCTAATACCGATTCTCACTCTGTCCAAATCACCACTATTCACCTTAATAGTGATAATTATTTAAGATGATCTCGGTCCATTCGGATGTACATCAGAGGGCATGGAAAGATTGGGTACCTAACAGGAGACAAGAAGGCACCAGCACCAGATGATGCAACTTATGCGTAATGGGATGCAGAAAATTCAATGGGAATGACTTGGCTTGTGAACTCTATGGATGAAGATATTAGCTTCAACTATATGCGCTACTCCACAGCCAAAGAACTTTGTGACAATATGAATGAGACGTACTCTGATTTGGGAAATCAATCTCAAGTTTATGACTTGACTCTTAAACTTAGTGACATTCAGCAGGGGGAGGACTCGGTCACCAAGTATTTCAATTCATTGAAGCGCCTTTGGCAGGACTTGGATATGTTCAATGATTATGAATGGAAATCCACTGAAGATGCTAATCATAACAAAAAGACAATGAACTCATCGTATTTATAAATTCCTTGCTGGACTAAATGCGGAATTTGGTGAAGTAAAGGGACAGATCATTGCCAGGACTCCACTTCCTCCAATTGGTGTGGTGTTTGCTGAGGTTCGAAGAGAAGAAAGTCACAGACATGTAATGTTGGGGAAGAAGACTACTAGCAGGTCTTAAGAGTTCTGCCCTTGTTATTGTTGAGGCTACTGCTAATAAAGCAACCAATTTTCAGCGAAGACCTGAAGAGAAGCCAAGGGTCTGGTTTGATAAAATTATCTAAAAATATAGATCTTAAATATGTCCTCCATGTCCCTAAACTGGCCTGTAATCTTTTGTCTGAGAGCAAACTAACCAAAGAATCTAATTGGCATGTAAATTTCTATGATTCTTACTGTGACTTTTAGGACCAGAACTCGAGGAAGAAGATTGGATGTGCTAAGATGATAGATGGACTTTACTACTTTGATGGTAGCTTCTCCAGTAATAAAAAGGCTCAATGCTTTAGTAGTGTTAGATCTAATTCTGTTCATGAACAAATAATGTTTTGGCAATTAAGGCTAGGACATCCTAGCTTTCCATATCTTAAACATTTGTTTCCTACTTTATTTAAAGGTTTGGATTGTTCAACATTCTATTGTGAAAGTTGTTGCTTATCTAAGAGTCATCGTACTACTTATGTCCCAAAACCTTATACTTCTTCAAAATCATTTTATTTAATACATAGTGATATATGGGGACCCTCAAGAGTCACTACTCTCTCTAGGAAAAAAATGGTTTGTTACCTTTATAGATGATCATACACGTTTGTGTTGGATATATTTTATGCATGAAAAGCTGAGGTTGAAAAATGTTTCGAAGAATTTTACATGATGGTTGAAGTTCAGTTTCAAACAAAAATTAGCGTTCTTCACTCCAATAATGGAATAGCGTATTTTAATAAAATTTAGGGAATTGAAGGAAAAAGTTATACATCATCAATATACTTGCATGAATATCACTCAACAAAACGGAATTGTTAAAAGAAAAAATAAGCATTATTTGGAGTATCTCGGGCTATAAATGTTTTTAATGAATGTTCCAAATTTCTTTGGGGGACGCTGTTTTAACAGCCACTTATTTGATTAGCAGGATGTCCACGTGTGTTTTAAAATATAGCACGCCATTAGAATGTCTCAAAAACAAATTCCCATATCTAGGATGCAATCAAATTTACCTTTAAAGGTTTTTGGCTGCATTGTTTTTTTTTACATAGCCAATAATACTTGTTCCAAACCTGATCCTTGGGTTGAAAAATGTGTTTTTATAGGGTATGCTTCTAATAAAAAGGGATATAAATGCTACAATCCCCAAACAAGAAAATTTTATGTGAGTATGGATGTCTCTTTCTTTGAAAATAAATCATACTTTAACAAAAATTCTCTTTAAGGGGAGAATAAGGTAATGGAAGAATTTTTTTGGAATTTATCTCATACTCCTTTACCAAATATGATTACTTCACATCAACATTCTCATCCTACTGCTATTCCCGAAGTCAGGAACAATGTGATAAAACAAATGAAAACGGTGATAGGAATCCTAGTCATATAGTGCCGAGAATTATTGTATCTGTATCTGAAACGGGGAAAAACACTAGAACTAGGTCAAAAAAAACCTAATATTGAGCCATTAGTTTATATTCGGAGAAGACCCCATCAAAAGAGTCAAAAGTCAACATATTCCTCTTAGGAATGATCAATCTCGACCTTCGGGAACTGGACCTCTAGCTATCATAGTTAGTTCTGTTCCTAACTCATCTTCAATTCCTATTACTTCTCCTAGCCAAGAACCATTAAACCTTAATATTCCTATAGCTTTTAGGAAAGGAACCCAAATTTGTACCAAATATCCCATTGCCAAATACATTTCTTATGAAAAGCTTTCTCATACTTAGAGTACTTTTACCTCAAAAATTTCACACTTGTTTGTCCCGAGAAACACTCGGGAAGCTTTTGATGATTCGAATTGGAAATTAGCAGTGATGGAAGAGACGAATGCTTTTAGAAGAAGTGGTACTTGGAAGATAGTTGATTTGCCTAAGGAAAAAAGAACAGTAGGCTACAAGTGGGGTCTTTACTGTGAAATGTAAAGTTGATGGTAGCATAGAGAGATACAAGGCAAGGCTAGTGGCAAAAAGGTTCAAGCGGACCTATAGGATTGACTTTCAGGAAACCTTTGCTCCAGTGGCCAAAATAAATTCGATTAGAATCTTGTTATCTTTGACGGTAAACTTCGACAGGCCATTACACCGGTTAGATGTAAAAAATGCCTTTTTAAATGGAGATCTTGAGGAGGAGGTCTAGGCTATCACCTGGGTTTGAGGGAAATAAGAACAACGTTCGTTTTCCTATTTGTAGAGAAGTCTGGGTTCAATAGTAGGAGTGAGGGAAGATGATCACGTACTTGATCCCATTCCTCAACAAATCAAGAGAGCCAAGACGATCCTTCAAAAGCGAATGAAAACTAATAGTTTAGTTTTAGTTTTAAATTTACTTTCTGCAACATGTATCCTTTTTCTACAGTAGATTATTTACCGTGGCATGGGAGCGGTAGATATTTCCATTAGGGGTTGACCATGTTATATAGTGTGTTCCGCATTTGAATTTCAGTTGCTGCAATATTTTGGTACCGTGATCAATTAGTCAGTAGTTCGATAGTTCATCAGACTAATAGAACCATTCAGCAGAACTGTCAGCTTAAATACACATCTGAATAGTTTATTAAATAGCCCGTAATTACCTAGAACTTAAAACTTCCAATTATACATCATGTAATTCTATGTGAAGCTTTGTTGAACTGTGTAAAAAGCCTGATCATATTGTTCAACTTATCATATTGTTCAACTTATTCTCTTTACCACAAATCAACCTTCGAGATGAAGTTTAACAAATTAAAATGTTTGCTTAACTTCATTTCTTTTATTTTCTCATAAACGAGAATTAGTGCTTAGAGCATGTTTGGCATACACACAGAGAAAGACAACACCATCAAAGTAAACCCATGTCAAAAATCCACTCTTGAAAGGGGTTTGAGATCGTAAATGCAAAAATTATAGGTATTTTGGATAACAATAAGATTTTGGATAACAATAAGAAATTTTCTTACCTTCACCACAACCAAGCTTGACACTCTTGAAAGGGGTTTGGGATCTCAAGAAGTGGAGCAAAGTAGTAGAAGGGTCAATATTTTGGATCTCAAACCTTTCTCCATTGACTGCAAAAACCAGGCTCTCATTTCTTGACAGTGGCCGTGGTTCTGTACATATCATTTCTGCTTCCATATCTGATGTGCACAGTGCACTTTGTCTGTTTGTGTTAGAAGAAGTAGACAATGGGAAATCTGGGATGGAAAGGATTAAATTTAGGACCAATTGAACAAAGATTAAAGCAATATGCCAAGTGGAGTAACTTTAGCATGTCTACATGCCACTCCGGTACTACAGTGACACACTCCTTCTCCCTCCCTCTCTCTCTTTTTGGGTGTTGGTAGAGTCAAAGGTGTATGAAAGCCATGATTTTGAATTGAGTGAAATGAAGGGAATAATATGTGATGTGATTAGAAATACGTGATTAGGAAAAAATGAAGAGTTCTGAATTTTTATGTGTAATATTATTTTATTGAAGATTATGTGGTTGAAAATGAGTCTTGAAATAATGAATTTTTTATTAGAATGTGGATCAAACATGGACGAAGATAACTATCCCAACTTGGTTTGTGAAGTCTAGTCGAACTTGCCTATAACATTAGTTTTATTTTGAAGCATTTTAATTTATTGAACGATTAAATAGTTAGCAAGCTATAAGAGTGATGTTCACAGCATCATCCTTTTATTTTTAGCAAATTAGAAAGACCATTTTGACATATATGTTTCAAAAATTAAGCTCCTATTTGATTTTGATAAGAATAAATTTTTTAGTAAATTTTGATAAAAATTGATAAAATACGTAGTTGTATAGTTGTTAAAAATTGCGAATCCTATAAAATATGTGCTTAAAAATAAAATTTAAAAAATAAGGACCAAATAGAAGCTCATTTTTTAAACAAGGCTATTTTTGGAGATAAGAGAAATGAAAGTGCCAAGATACCCTAAATTTAAGGGTACCTTTCGTACCTTTATACCTCCAAGCCAGGGGTCAGAATTTTATTTATTTTAAAGAACCACCCGAGTCAACCAACAAATCCATCAATGCAGTTGAGTTAAAATTCCGTGTAAACAACGTAAAACTCCTTACGTCAAATTTGCCGTTAAAAAAGTAAAAATGTCAAAATTAAAAAGTAATAATTACAATTTCAGTATTCAAACTTTTTATTTTTTTTACAAATTATACCCAATTTTTTTATATACCACCCACAATATCAAACATTTAAAACATTATTTTCCACCCCACCATACTTCGTTTTCTTCTTCAAAACTTTATTATTTTATTTAGTCCATTTCAAAACCCTCATAAATCCCTCATCCCAAATTTCTCATTTCTTCTTCTCATTCCCAAGATTAGAAATATCCACGTATCCACTCCCTACAAAATCCAATTTTGAGTTGCAATTCTATGAGGAAATATCACGAGTTACTGAATTCCTCCATGGCAGCCTTCCCTCATTAGCTCTCAAAAATTTCCCCTTCCTCGCCACTAGTTTCATATAATTCCCTTTTTTAACATGCTCTTATTCAATTGAAGTGTCCATTTTTGTTACCAAAATAGTTTGCAGAACCCCTTTTTCTAGTCATGCCGAGAAGAAATGGCTTGTCCACAGCCGTGAGGTAGCAGCCGTGGCAATTCTTAAGGCAAATTACGGTGTTTTTACCTTCGATGAATTCAAATGTCCACAGTGCCTTGTGTGGATCACCGTTGCACGTGTGCGAGGACCTATCTTGGGAATGAGAAGGAGAAATGATGAATTTGGGGTAAGAAATTTAGGAGGATTTTGGAAATGATTAAATAAAATAATAAAGTTTTGGGAAGAAGATAAAGTGGGTTAGGGTGAAAAATAAAGTTTTAAAGGTTTAGGATTGTCCGTGATATATATAAAAAAAATTGTGTATAATTTGTAAAAGAAAAAAAGTTTCGGATACTAAAATTGCAATTATTGCTTTTTAATTTTGATATTTTTACTATTTTTAACGGCAAATTTAACAATATGGAGGTTTTCTGTGATTTCCAATAGGTATGGGATATATTGCAAAATAAGACTTTTTTATAGGGTTTTTTACTATTAATCCAATGAATTTATATGAAAAGAAATGAAAATTAAGCTTCATAATTAATTTATGAAACTTGATGTATTATTTCCGTTACACATAAAAAAAGGATAAGATATTTTATGAAGGATAATAATAACGATGAATATTTTATTTATGCACTATTTGGACTTATATAAAGCTCGTTAATATAACGCTTTGCAAACTTATTTCTTACTTTCACTCTCAACTACGTCGTTCGACTTACCATTACACACGTGATAATAACATTTGCAATGGAAATTTGAAATATAAAGCCGAAAATTCCTTATCTTCAATTATCTTTTAATATTACTGAGAATATACTAAAGAAATAATGACTTGTAAGAGATTTTAAAAGAAATTTGGTAAATCATTTTTTGAATAATTTGACCATTCTTAATTTTTCAGAATAACGTCAAAAAAAAAGCCCATAACGATTTTCTAAAGTAGTGTGTTATTCTTTTATGAATTAAGCTTCATCATTTAAAGAAACGTGAAAATCGAGACTTTAATATGTCTTTTCTTGCTTTAATTGTTTGCTTGTTGAGATGTTTGATTGCTATCGCGTTCTAAAACTTTTACTATCTACATTCCTTGTAAAAAACTCAATCAATTAGTCAAGGTGAACATTTCTTTGCGAGTTGAAAGACATAAATTTACAAAATACTAATTAATAAGGTGTAATTAATAAGTGACTTATAAATGGATATTTTAACCGAATAAATACTAAGCCTCTATTTGATGGAAATAAAATTCACATTTTAATCTAAGTCAAAGTCAATAATTAGCTCATATTTGATGCCCAACAATTGACAACCATTATTAGAGAAAAATAGAGTTTTGAACAGTGATTTTTAAGAAAATGTGCGGTTAAAAAGTAGGAAAGATTTTAGATTTACACGCAAAATATTTTATTGTGTGAATGTGTGGTTGAAAATGAGAGTGTAAAAAAATAGTTTGAAAATAATGGTTGTCAAACATGGACTAAGGAGAAATTGGGGGAAAACGACGTTTTGAATGGTGATTTTTTGGAGAATGTATGGTTAAAAAGTTGGAAAAAAATTAATTGTGTGAATGTATAGTTGAAATTAGTATGAGAGATAAATAGTTTTAATTTAAAGATAGTCAAACGGAGGACTTAATTTTAATCATACATTTCATGATATCCACAACTTTGCAACAACACATTTCATCAACTTTTATTAAAATTTACTAAAAAAATTGATTTTAATCTCCATCGGATAAGGACAAACATTTTTCACTTTTAGCATGAAAGTCTTATGATTAGCAACTGCCATTCACCATTAGACTTATAAATGATATTCCAATCGAGAACAAATTTAACCATTAGAAGACGAGCTTTTTTCACTTTAAGCACGAAAGTCTAATGACAAACAACGGCCTGTCATCGCCTCCATATGATAATTTGCACTCCTTTTACCACGATAAACTTGCCCTCAATGCAGATGAAGCCGCTTATTGTGCATTGACTTCCCATAAGCAAATTTCTCATTGCCAACGATCTTTCCTCTTTCTTTCCTTCCTTTTCCAAAAAATCAAACGGTTTCAATAAAAATTGCTCAAGTATATGGGGGGCGCCGTAAGTGATATATTAGAGTATTTTGAGTCCAATAGTAGAATAGAACCGCTGTATTTCTACTATAGTTAGAATAACAACTCGCACCCAACGTTGTTCTTCCATCGCCATTGTTGTCCCCATCAAACTGCCATTGCTAGCAACTTGGATCCCATTTTACACCTCCTTGGATTGCCTTTTCTTATTCTTTGAAATGTTTTTGTTAGTTGTAGACGTTGGTACGTTTTCCTCCCCTTACAATTCCCTTATGTATCCTAATTTTATGTACGTTGGTAAAATACGTGTTCAATATATTTTTATTCATTTATCAATTAAATAAATTGTCGAATTTTTGTTATTAAGTAATTTGGTGAAGTTTAAGAATATTTCACGTGTTGCACTGATTAATTCAGCGATTCCGTGCTAATTCAGATGGTTTCGTGCATTTTGTTTCAACTCATTTGACTCGTGACCTTACTGTGAACTTTTGAAATGAGAACTTATTGAATTTTAATAAAATAATGTAAAAGGTCAAATCACGAAAATGATTAATTTAACTTATCAAACTCCCACTAGTAGTTCATTGAGCCATTAAAAAGGGGGATTCGAATACAAGTCTAAGAGGAAAAAACTCTAAAGAAATTGAGAGGAAAAATACACAGTTGGCTTTGAGAAATACAACCTATCTTTTGAGGTCAACAATGACATCCCCAAATTTAGCTCAATTGGGCTTGAAAAGGTAAAAAGAAATAATTATCATTGTATAATATGCTTAGTGGCGGACCCAACACCCGGCGAGGGGGCGTGGCCGCCCGTGCTGAATCCGCCGGAGTCTTCAATACCGCCTAGCACCAGATCACTGTTGTTGCTACAGAGAGAAGATGGGAAGAAGAAGACGAGAAGAAGATTGTCATGGTAATTTCAGCAATTACTTCACATCAAGATTCTGGAAAAGTCCAGCATTTTCCACAGTATTCAAAGGCCGTGACCCATGTTATTTCAACACCAGCGTAATGGTAATTGATTTGACAAAATGAAGAGCTCAAAGGTACACACAAAAACTCGAATACTGGATGAGAATTCAAAAGAGGTACAAAATCTATGAACTGGGTTCATTGCCTCCATATTTACTAGTTTTCGCCTGGAATGTTGAAGGAGTAGAGCATCGGTGGAATCAATACGGACTCGACGGCAATAATCTTGAAGGTTTGTGCAGGGATCTGCATCCGGATTTGGTGAGTTTACTCCACTAGAGTGGAAAAGGGAAACCATGGTTGAGATTGGATGCTAAGAGTTCAATACCGTCTGGTGTCGGGTGCACAGAGAAGACGGGAAGAAGAAGGGAAGAAGTAAATCATTGGGCTTTTTTTTTTTTTTTTTTTCATCAGTTTGCCCCTTTTATTTTGAGTTGAGAGAGTTGGGTATCTAAAAAAGTTTGGGCCTTTTTTTTAAAAATAGTTTTGGCCCTTTCTTCTCGGCTTTACAGTTCCATCCGTGCTGAACTTTTGTGCTGAGTCCGCCACTGAATATACTTGCTATATAATGTAATTATACAAGCCAGGAGTAGGTTATATTTGAATTCTATTTAAGATTATATTCACACTTGGAATTTTGCTTCATATCCTACATTAATTTGACAATTTGACTGCCGTAAGTTGGATTCACAACTAAATAATTAGTTTGTTTCCAACATTTGTTACTCATGCTCCTCATGTGGATGTAAAATCATATCGTATGCAACCCTTGTCAAATGTCACGTGGGATTGCCATAAAATGTACATCTCGGAGGAATCAATTACATGAGAGCCTTCACCATTAGATACATAGAAAAAATTGAAAAGAGAACAACCTAACGGTCGACTCTATACCCACCACCATGGAACAATGTCCAACGATCCAATCAAGTCTGAAGGTTTGACACAAGACGACCTAATAATCCAACTGTATCGATAGTAATCATTTGCTCATCGAATTTATAGTTGAAGGAACTAATGATGAACCTAATGATTTAAGATGACAATAGGCCATTTGTTCCCTGACTCATGGTATGGCGTCAATAGGGTCCCCATATGATATTTTCAAAAGAAGCAAAAATGTAATTGAACCCTTGTACTTCTAGGTGGATTTCCAATTAAGAGTGTGTCTTGAGGGAATTAAGATCAAAATTCTGACCGTTGGTATGGCAATTTTCTTACCGTTTGGAGGCAAGATGGGGCCCAGCTGTGAGATGGCCGGTCAATTTCTGTGGCTGTGAGTGGGTTTTCAACGGTTGGAATTTTACTGTCTAGCACCATGACATTTTTAGCAGACAGGCTCTAAGAAATGTCAGCTAAGCGAGGTGAAAACTTATAAGTACCACATAAACATAAGGAACTTATTCAATTTCACGTGAGATTGTCACTAAACATACCCTTGAGAAGGACATACTACATGACTTGCCTTTAAGGTTAGATGAACGGAGAGCCTCACAAAGCAACCACCTAATAGCCAACTCTATGCCCACCATCCGTAGAACAGTGTTCGAGCGCACAAGCAGGTTCGAAGGTTCACGTTGAGTGACCCAGTGATTCAAATAAGTCGGAGATATCCCAACACCAGCTCTTTCTTCACTGATCCATGGCCAAAGGAACAAACGATGAACGTAATACCTCAAGACGACCGTAGCCAGCTTGTTCTCTAATCGTTGTTATGACCGCAGTAGACTCCCCGTGTGATTTACCTAAAGGAGATGACGATCTACTAACTTCACCGTAAATAATTTTCCAAATGGGGAATATTAGGGGGACAACAAAGTGAAAGAACTACTTATAAATACCACATAACAGCTACACAAAGCAAATAATCAAAGATATGTGGTGGTCGATACTCGATATAGATGCTCTTGTAGACTTAGCAATGTATAGAATAATGTTCAAATGTTTAGTCGAAGCTATATGTATTGTGGTAATTATTGGGATTGTATAAAATTGAAAATATTATTTATAATTTAGATTACACGAGTAGAGACTTTCTGAAAACGAAAGCTCATATGATATCACAATTAAAATACGATGTAACAACATAAATTTTGATGTGAATATAATTATTTTAAAAATATTTATCTGGTCTATTTTAAATTTATGCGTCAAATGAATACGTGAAGTCATGAATCTTTATTTTAAAAATAATTTTTAAACAAAGATAATTTGTGTTGCAATTAAAAAATAAATAAAAATTATTAACTATTATTATTAGTTCCAGGGAAGATTCTTCGAAAGTCAGCCAACTATTCTTCAATTTGTATTCCAAATTATGCAAATCTTTGACAGCAAAGAATGAACTGGATGTCCCAAGACACGTTCCTGTCTTAACTTGTATAGACACACGAGGCACGTGGAAGTAAAATAGTCGAGACAATATTAAAAAGTGAACGAATATAATAAAATCTATTAATTTGTTTTATGTCCATTTAATGTACAAAAATATCGACTCAGTTCTAACAATTAGGCGTTTCAAGAAAATTTTACGTTGAAAAATAAACAGGGGCGAACTAATCGATTATGAGATTATGTTAGCGAATTTTATATTTACAATTTCTTACATATGATTAGATCAACTTTTAGACCAAGTTTTCAAATTAAATCCACGAGCTCGATTCCGCTGGCGTAAAACTAAACATCGCTATAAAAATGTTTTCATTAAAAATTTAAAAAAAATGAAATTTAGACTCGAAATGTTATGTTGTTTATCTTTATCAACATTATAAAAAGCACGTCTGGGTGTGAAACTTAATTTTATGATTTAGACAAACTCGTAAGAACAATGCTAGAGGTACATCGGGGTGTATATCACGGTATACACCCCCCTCACATGGGTAAGGGGCCCACTTAAATATTTTATTTGAGTGGACCCCTCCATGTGAGGTGATGTACATCTAGCATTTTTCAACTCGTAAAAGGTGGAAACTTGATCATTTCGCTTAACCACGATTTTACACTTTCAAGCGAGCCCTTAAAAATCTAGACGTGTTCGGTAGAGATTAAAATGGTATTAAAATTGAAAAATTAGTCGTTATTGCTGACTTTAATTAGACGAGTAAGATCAAATAATTACTATATTTTCAATTTTAATTGAATTTTAAATTTAGCCAAACATGCTCCTAATCTTTATACCACTGGGGTTATTGAATTTAAAGTGGACTGAAAATTTCAAAATCCAACAAAATTTTCTATCTTTACAACTGTACTTAAGTGTTAACGCGGCGCCTAACGTATAACGCGTTTCATTACACGCATATATGCACCGCTAACCCCCAATGTGTATGTATATTTACTCTCACTCACACGCTGCTAAAACCAAGTCAATTGCACACAAAAACACACACAAACACATTGCTTTAATCTGATGCAGAAAAGGCTACGGAGAGCCTCACAAAGCAACCACCTAATAGCTTACTCTATGCCCACCATCTGTAGAAAAGTGTTAGAGCACACAACTAGGTTCGAAGGTTCACCTTGAGTGACCCAGTGATACAAATAAGTCGGAGATATCCCAACACCAGCTCTTTCTTCACCGATCCATGGCCAAAGGAACAAACGATGAACATGAAACCTCAAGACGATCGTAGCTAGCTTGTTCTCTAATCGTTGTTATGGCCGCAGTAGGCTCCCCACGTGATTTACCTAAACGAGATGACGATCTACTAACTTCACCGTAGATAATTTTCCAAATGGGAAATATTAGGGGGACAACAAAGTGAAAGAACTACCTATAAATCCCACATAACAGCTACACAAGGCAAATAATCAAAGATATGAGGGGGTTGATATAGATGCTCTAGTAGACCTAGCAACGTATAGAAAAATGTTCAAATGTTTAGTCGAAGCTATATGTATTGTGGTAATTATTGGGATTGTATAAAATTGAAAATATTATTTATAATTTAGATTACACGAGTAGAGACTTTCTGAAAACGAAAGCTCATACGATATCACAATTAAAATACGATGTAACAACATAAATTTCGATGTGAATATAATTATTTTAAAAATATTTATCTGGTCTATTTTAAATTTATGCGTCAAATGAATACGTGAAGTGATGAATCTTTATTTTAAAAATAATTTTTAAACAAAGATCATTTGTGTTGCAATTAAAAAATAAATAAAAATTATTAACTATTATTATTAGTTCCAGGGAAGATTCTTCGAAAGTCAGCCAACTATTCTTCAATTTGTATTCCAAATTATGCAAATCTTCGACAGCAAAGAATGAACTGGATGTCCCAAGACACGTTCATGTCTTAACTTGTATAGACACACGAGCCGTGTGTGGTAAAATAGTCGAGACAATATTAAGGGCGTGTTCGGTAGGGACTAAAATTGAAAAACTAGCTGTTATTGTTGACTTTTATTAGACGAGTGGGACCCACAACGACTATATTTTCAATTTTAATTAGATTTTAAATTTAGCCAAACATGCTCAAAAATGTGAACAAAATAAAATCTAAGAATTTATTTTATGTCCAATTTAATGTACAAAAATATCGACTAAGTTCTAACAACTAAACATCACTATAAAAATGTTTTCATTAAAAATAAAAAAATAAAAATTTAGACTCGAAAAGTTATGTTGTTTATCTTTATCAACATTATAAAAAACACGTCTCGGTGTGAAACTTTATTTTACGATTTAGTCAAACTTGTAAAAGTTGGAAACTTGATCTTATCGCTTAACCACGGTTTTACACTTTCAAGCGAGCCCTTAAAAATCTAAGACGTGTTCGGTAGAGATTAAAATCAGATTAAAATTGAAAAACTAGCCGTTATTGCTGACTTTAATTAGACGAGTAAGACCAAATAACGACTATATTTTCAATTTTAATTGAATTTTCAGTTTACCCAAACATGCTCCTAATCTTTATACCAATGGGGTTATTACAGTGGACTGAAAATTTCAAAATCCAACAAAATTTTCTCTCTTTACAACTGTATTAAGTGTTAACGCGGCGCCTAACGTATAACGCGTTTCATTACACGCATATATGCACCGCTAACCCCCAATGTGTATGTATATTTACTCTCACTCACCCGCTGCTAAAACCAAGTCAATTGCACACAAAAACACACACAAACACACTGCTTTAATCTGATGCAGAAAAGGCTTTAAACGTTGAATTTGAGTGTGAGAATATGGCAGATCGAGTACACCCTACGGTGCCACCGTCTTCATCCTCGACGGAAACATCATCCAAAAGTAATGTTGAAGCTCCGCATCCACCACATCCGGAGCCATCGAAGCCGGTCCCGCCACCGCCGGCAACTTATGTCATTCAGCTTCCCAGAGAACAAATCTTCCGCTATCCACCAACTGAAAGTACCCGCAAATTCCGAACTTCGAACCTTAAAAAAAATCGACGGAGCTGCTGCCGGCGGTGCTGCTGCTTTACCCTCTGCCTCATTCTTCTCCTCATTGTCGCGGCATGCATCGCGGCCGGGGTGTTCTATCTCATCTTCCGTCCTGAATCGCCAAGGTATACAGTAGATCGCATCAGGATGAAGGGCTTCAACCTGACGTCAACAGCGCCTATCTCGCCTGGATTTGACGTAAGCATCAAGGCGAACAACCCTAACGACAAGATCGGAATATACTATTTAAAAGACGGCGCCGCTAGCGTTTTCTACAACGACGTTAGGTTATGCGACGGCGTTTTGCCCACGTTTTACCAACCGAAGAATAACATTACGGTATTCCAGACGACGTTAAAGGGGTCTAGCATTGTTCTGGCACGAGCTGTTAAAACGGAGCTATTAAATGCACAAAAAATGTCAACCGTGCCGTTTGTTTTGAGAGTAAAAACGCCCGTTAAGATCAAGGTGGGATCCATTAAGACTTGGGAAATCAACGTTAAGGTCAAGTGTGACGTCATTGTCGATGCATTAAATGAAAAGGCAAAAATTATTTCTAAAAAATGTAATTACAGTGTGAGATTATGGTAGAGAATTTTGATTTTAGAATGATCATTATTTATTCTTTTGGTTGTACACAGTTATGAAGGTGGATCTTAATTTAGGATCCACAATTTTATATACCTCTATTTTTACTATTTCTCATGAACTCTTATGTTTAAAAATTAATCATGTCGTGGTCAAGAAATTGAGTCGTTCGATTGTTATTTTCTTTCCTCGATGTTTTCGCATATTTGTTTAGGTCTGGATATATTCGACTATACATTCTAGTTTTCACGAGAATTGTTGAATTGATTTTGATTTAAATTTCATTCTTATAAAATTGATAAGTCGTATGTAAAAAAAACAAGAGTCAAATCAAATTTGGTTTCATTCTCACTGGTCACTTGTCCTAGCAAAATTAAATTTCTAAGTCAATAAAATATGACTCCAAACTAGTAGAAAGAAAGAAAGAGGAGAAGAAGAGCATGTCATAAGGGAAAATACCATTAGAAATTGAAGAGAGCTTAACAATTTGACAACAAACTTAATTCAAGTCCACGTGGTTGTAACTTACAGTGTATATAACTCCTAGAAAAATACTATTCATCCTCAGTGGAGATGGATCCCCAATCTATGTGGATGTAATGATATGTGAAATTAAATGACTTATTTAATTTCACCTATCATTTAACGCCATATAGATTGGGGATGCATCCCCACTCCCCACTGAGGATGAATAACATTTCTCTAACTCCTACTCTATTTATTCTGTTACATAGTTTGCAATTTTTTAAAATTGCATTAATAATCAGCTTACATCACATACTATTTATTTGTGTAATTTTTTTTTATTACACTGTATAAAATTTTTCACGTGTATATACTTTTCTGTACTTTTTTGATTATGTAATTTTTATTTTTTTTTTACAAAATCTTATATTTAATAAATTACAATGATTTTAACACACCCTATGTTAATTTACACATAAATCATGTTACATTGTATTTATTTAGGTTCTTTGAATTGTAACTTCCACTACATGTTGTTACGGTATGTAATTTTTGAAAAAAAAATGTTACATCATCATCTCACAATCGCCGTCACTCCATCACCACCAAAAATCGTCGCATTAACACACAAAGAAAATTAAATATAATGTTGTTACCACCACCCCCATGCACCACCAACAATCTCCCATTACCAATTTCGCAGTTAGATCTATACACCATCAAATACCAACACAAAATCGCCATCAACACAACTCATCTCACCACCAAGACTACCGTAACTTATCTACACCTACCATTATAACCCGAAAACATCCACCATAAAAAAAACCAATCACACAAACGAACAAAAAACAAAGGTAAGATCCACCATAATCTAAAATCAAGGATTCTCGATTCCATTGGACGATCAATTCCTAATCCTTTTCGAAATAAATTTTGTCATATTCATTGAATTTCCTCCACTTTGATCAAGATAAGTTTCATCTCATTCCTTTCTAAAATTTCTCACGCTTAATGTGTAAGCGTTATAACTTATAACTATTGCTCAAGATGTTTATAGTGAGCTCTTGCATTCGTGTGTTTTCCTTTCTTTCAGTACCTCCTCCTCCTGTACTGATGCCTGTTCCTGGTGCTGGGTAAGTTCAATTGTTTTGAGTGATTTGGTTATGGCAATAATTTTGGCAGTATCCACAGTTCATATTTTATACTGTTATTGCTTATATTCGCGATGATGGTTTTCAGTCCATTGGGTCCTTTTGTTCCGGCTCCTCCTGAAGTTGCAATGCGAATGTTGCAAGATCAGGGAGGCCCTTCCCTGTTCGAAGGCAGTAGAAATGGAAGGTCAGGGCCCCAGTTGAGTGGGCCTGCCCCAATAATTGCTTTACCTCCATCTTTTCGACAGGATCCTCGACGCTTACGAAGGTCAGTTCTTATTTGATGTGCTTGTATGTCACCGCTGATTGATTGGCTAACTGAGTGAATAGTTGCCGTGGTTGAAGTCTGATTCTCCAATATAGTGCTTGTTGGGAGAAATTATAACCCCATTATAATTTAAAACTCAAACATTAATTTAAATCACATTACAAAGGACCCAAAAAATATTACTCACTTATTATCCACACATTTTGTGGGACTCACTACTCATATTCCAATATTATCCCATTATAATTTCTCCCAGATAAGCTCATAAGGTATTGATCTAAGGAAGGCGAGGAGCCATTTGAAGCATAGTCAATAACCCATTTTTATGGTTATTGATGTAGAGCAAGTTTGAGAAGACTTGTTTAGTACAAAATTTGAACTTTTAATAGGGCTATGATAATAATGTTTTAGGATTTACCAAACCTTTTTTTTTTTTTAATAACCGTGGATGTTCGGGCCAACTTGCCCGAATCTCGATTAATCCCACGGGGCCCTGAAGTTTACGGTCGGGTACTCAACTCAGTAGCCCTGACGGGAAACCCTTTTTTATTTTTTTGGCCAATGAAAGATAACAAAGAAGATTTGGGTGGAATCAGATAAAATTGAGCTGGTTTTATCTTGCTCAAGATTTTAATCACCAAAAAAAAACTTTGTTCCCAATGTCTCAGGATTGTCTTGACTCCACCCAAACGGAAGAGAAAAAGCATTCCACTTGATAAAGAGTGGACAGCGAGCTGCATGTGGGGATTTTGACGAAATATGAGATGGAGATAGGTCTATAAATATTATTCATCTCAGTGGGTAAGCAAGTTTATTGAATTAAATATTCTTCAAAGCTCGCTTCAAGTGGAAATTAGGATTTCCTTTTGTTTGGGCGCTCAAAGCATACAAATTCTACCCTTCTGTTAAAAAATTAGCCCCTGTTTGACAACCATTAAATGGGAAAAATCATGTTTTGAATAGTGATTTTTAGGAGAATGTGTGGTTAAAAAGTAGGAATAATTGTGTGAATGTGTGGTTGAAAACGAGTGTGTAGAAAAAAGTGTGAAATTAATGATTGTCAAATAGGGGCTTATTCTAGAAATAGTCAACATTTGTATAAGCATCTATTTGGTCCAATGCATGTGTATCTCAGCTTGACTAGTTGATTGCATGTTATATGTTGTAAAAATGAGCATGGTAGGTTTTGAACTTTGGCTTGATGATAAGGATTCCAAATCAAGCTTCACTTTCAAGAGGCTTGATTCAAAATGAGTTTTGACTATTATTTGGAGAATGCGTAGTTAAAAATTAGGGAAAAGTTTTTGATTTACGTGCAAAATATTTTATTGAAAGAATGTGATTGAAAATGAATTCGGAGAAAAATGGGTTTTTGGATAATGGAGCTCAAACAAGAGCTTAATCTGCATTATCATGGCTAAGTTCAGTCGGACTGAAAATAGACCTTAATCTTGATCTGCCATCGTCAACTAGCTAATGGAGTTCTGTGGTACATGTGGGATTCAATAATTTTTTTGCCTGCAATGCTGTTTCAGAATAAATTTTGGCAGAAATGTTTTCAACACTTCTCTTTTCTTCCTTGTTGTGGTTAGTTAGGATGGCTAGCGGTTGGATAGACTATTTTCTCACTGAGACAATCAGTTTACAAACTAATCTTTGTTTGATATCAGGCTTAATAATTCTACTATGTGAAAGCTTGCTAATCTTAGCCCTTGTTTGATGGCCATTATTTTGAGAAAATTGAGTTTTTAATAGTGATTTTTTTTTGAAAATGTGGGGTGAAAAAGTTGGAAAAGTTTTGGTTTACGTGCAAAATATTTTATTGTGTAAATGTGTGGTTGAAAATGAGTACGAGAATTAAAGAATTTTGAAATAATGGTTGTCAAACAAGTGCTTAATATATATAACCATGGATACATCAGAGATATCTGTTGAAGTAAAGCACCTATTTTCACAGAGAACCACAAACAGAAACTGTGGAAACTAGTCTGTTTCTGAACCTATCTTCCCAAGAAAAATAACAAGGCTGAAATTTTGGCTTTACAAGTGTGCCAATGATTGGATCGGCTGGAATTTTGAACCTCATTATTCTAGAAACTCCCTTTTGCACAAGCATGATGATTGGGTCAGCTAGAATTCCCATTTTTTAAGGGGATGATGATATATTAATTCCAGTTGTATGTATGGGATTTGCTGTGCAAGGAAGTCCCAGCATTATTGAAGAATTGTAGGTGCATGATTTATACAGCACGTACATCTTGGTACATGTTGAAACATAATTTTAACCACCAATTTTGTTGAGTCGTCTTCATTCATTGTAGGAAGGATTTTTTATTTTTTTTTTAAATTTGAATTTTGCTATTTTTGCAGCTATAATGACCTTGATGCACCAGAAGATGAAGTCACAGTCATAGACTACAGGAGTTTGTAGGTTTACCGTTTATACAATGGTTTAGATGTACGAGTATTCCACTCGCTTTCCTCCGGAAGAAATGAATGATTGCTCTGTTTGCAGTTGCGTTGCTCCAATTTTGACCTATGAAGATGCAATATGCCCGCTTCTTTGCTCTTGATGGTGTTTTGCTTCAAATATCCAGATTTGACAGGTTTGCCGCAATTCAGAATTATTCCACGAGAAATGCATTGTATGTACTGTACTGTAGGGGGAATTGTTCACTAATCTGCTACTGTAGTGTTATATAATTACAGAATTATATTTATTTTAAATTGTTTGAAATACCCATTCGTTTTCATTGGATTTCCTAAGATGAAAGTTTGAACAGCTTGGCATCTCAAAGTTTGATGACAATTTTTAGAAGGGAAAAACAAAAAGAGAAGAAATTGAGGAAGTATCCATAAATTGCTCAAAACAATGGTACAAGTAAATCTACCCAGTCAGTCATCTAGAAGTCGAGAACTTGGTAGAACACACCAGGCTAATTTTTTTTATTTTCATAGTCATTGATGAACCATGAGAATGTTTTGTCGAAGCTGAAAACGAAGTAAAAGTTGCTCTTTTTTTTTTCTCATAATTTAGAAGTTACTTCCTTTACTAAAAAACTTACATTTCTTAAAAGTATTAACTTACTTTCTAGAAAAAAAAGGAACTATTTTAAGCTTAGCCAAACATGCTCCTACACAATTCGCAGTCGCGTAAAAACATAGTCACAAATACAGTATCACAATCCACCGTAATACCATCTAATCAAAGACAGTTAAACGAATTTTTAAAAGAGAATTATTTTTCTCTAATTCGACTGTGAGAAAAACCAGTGTTCTAAAAAGCACAATTAGGGGCGAAATATGGACAAAACGTCTCGCTTCGCGCATGTGCGCGCTTTTTTTTTTCGCCTAGGCCTTTTTTTCTTTTCTCTTTTTAATATAGTATTTTATAATTTTAGATGTTTGGTAGGTATTATTTTAATTATTAAATGATTTTTAGATTGATTAAAATTAAAAATAATATTAATTTTTTTTTTTTATGTCTAGGCCTCGTCTAGCTCGAAGCTTTTTAAATAGTGAGAAAAATAGACACTTATTTGACATTGGAATATGCTAATTAACTGGAGAATATCTTTTTATAGCAATTAAATTTTAATTAAATCAGTCATTTATCAGCCGATGAGGTCAAGGAACAAGATCAGAATTATTCTTAGCATTTATATATTCTGACGGAGTTACCAAGAAAATGGACCTACTTTTCTCCACATTTTTTGCCTATAAATTATAATTCACATAAATCTCCAAATATATTCTTCTCTTTAATTTAAATTTGATTCTTTAAATCATATGTCACTTCTCTCGTCGTCGAGACATACATTAGTTGCTCAATCAATTATTCGTAAAAAGTGGTAAGTATAGTCTTTGAACCCTTTAGTAGATTTGCATATACTATATCGACGTTTAACATTTTATTTCACAATAAATTAGACATTTTTCGACCAATATTATATTTTTGACATTCCTCTCATCATTGTGGAGTTACTATTGACGTACTAGTTGTTCGAACTTACATAAAGTGGTAAGCATCGTCATTTTGAATCATTTAATGGATTTTTAAAAAGCTATATTGTGGTTTAAAGTTTTATTTCTGTAATGAATATTAAGCCACTGTTTGGTTCGGATTGAAATCTGATTTTAATCCAGGTCAAAGTCAAACAATCAATATTAACCACATCTTTCATGAGTCTCACAACTTTTCAACCACACATTTTAAAAACTTCTATTACAATCTACTAAAAATCTAATTTTAATCATCATCAAACATCCTCTTTATTGATGTTGTTTGCCAACTTTCATAAAGTTTATNAAATAATATTTTCCATCACATCAATAATTTTTCCTTCATTTTTAACCACGCACTCTCCATCAATCTACTATTCAATACTACATTCTTTCAAAAAAATGTATCCCAAACGCACTTTAAAAATCAAATTTTAATCCACACCAAACACCTTCTAAAACGAACATGAAATTAAACATTTTTCGATCACATTTTGACACACGTTTCTCGCTGAGCTAATTCTCCTCTCTGGAGAGGCCAACATAGCACACTAACATGCTAAAAATACGATTGATGAGTCAATACAACACAACCACACACGTTAAAAATTGTAGGTTAGTTCTTGTTCAAACTTGTGTGTAAATAACTCGACCCGACCTACAAGTCTAACAACTATAAACTCCACTTTCATATTTTATCAATTTTTTCGCTGCTTTTCGAAACAAAACACCATCCTTCAATTGTCGACTAACATATTAAAGTTTTCGGTCCCTTTCACTGAGATACGAAGGCACCCCATAACCAGAATTTGTTTTGAATCAGATATAACTTAGCAGGTGAGCAGCCCAGAACCGATCAAAGATTTGCAGGTATGGGAGTTGATCGAGTGCAGGCCCCAATACGGTAAGCATTCTGTTCTCCTGCAATAGATGCGATAGGTGTGCGATATGATTAGGTTCCACACATTCGAACACTAGAGTGGTGTTATAATAATTTCTTGATAAGCCTAGTAATTGATAGATTTGCAGTAGTTACCGGCGCGAACAACGGCATTGGTTTGGAGATAGTCCGGCAGCTCGCGAGTGCAGGCTTGACCGTTGTTCTTACAGCCCGGAATGAGAACCGGGGTTTAGCAGCGACATCACTGCTTCAGGAATCGGGTTTATCAAATGTAGTGTTCCATCAGCTTGATGTTCAAGACAGAGAGAGCATAGAATCATTGGCCAACTTCATAAACACACAATTTGGAAGGCTTGATGTTTGGTAATTGAATATGATTTTCATTTTAGGACATCATTAAGATACCACATTTAGTCTGTTAAGATTTGGGGCTTCATCTTAAAAGGTCAACCTTATTAAGATGAGTAATCCAAATTCTTATAAATTGGTCTATGTTTTCATCATTATTCAATGTGAAATTTTATCCCTTAACATGGCACTGTAAGATAGTGACTCGTTTGAGCATACCAATCTTGAAACCCGTGTGCTTATTTTATTTTGAGTCTTTCTATCCCTTAACATGCCCCCTCAAGATGGTGGCTCGTTTGAGCAGATCAGTCATGAAATTCGTGTGCTCATATTTTTTTTGAGTCTTAATCGGATCGAATTGCTGGTTGGAACTTAATGGGCTCTGATACCATATTAAGATTTAGGTTTCCATCTTAAAAGGTCAATCTTATTAAGAGGAGTAGCCAAAACTTTTATAAATTGATCTATGTTTTCATCATTATTCGATGTGAGATTTTCTCTCTTAACATAACCCCTATTTGATTTATCCAAAAAAGTTGATAGATTTTAGGTGAAAGTCAATAATTACTTTCAACCGCACGCATATTTAATGGGATGCACAACTTTTATCAGCTTTTCAATCACGTATTTCATCTACTTTTATACAAAAAATCTTATTTTTAGCAAAATCAAGTGGGGGCTGAAATCCGGCAATTTTGAAAGCCTATCTAGTTATTTGTGATCATTACTACAAGATTCGGCGCACCACGTAGATTCAGGTTCACTCCCTTGTTGAATGAACAAGTATACAGCTTTTAGGCCAAGAAAACATTAGAAAAAATGATTGAAAGCTGTTTTCTATACAAAGGGAGAAGTAAGAGAAGATTTTAAGCACTGTTTTCGATCCTAAGTTTTATTCACCGAATACTGTGGTTTCAAGAGGTAATTGCTGATTTAGTTTTTTCGACCCATAGAAATGCACTAGTCTTTCTATTGAAAAATGTTTAGCAATTTGTCGTTTGTGTTAGTGATTTTTCAAGTGTCAAAATGAAATCCTGAGATAAAATACATAGTGAATTAGAAGGGACCAATTAACTCTTAATTGAACAAGAAACAACTGGTTCAACAAAACTTTCCAGACAGTAACCCTTGTTTTATGCTACATTTTCTTCTTTTTGTAGCACATTTGATGATCAAATTTCTGCAGGTAAACAATGCTGGAGCTTCTGGTGTTTTAGTTGATGAAGATGCCCTCAGGACCTTAAATATAGACCCTGCAACTTGGGTAAGTTTTTATGGTGCTTTACTTGATCAGGCTTTGCTAATCATCCCCTACCCGTCGAAGGCTAAACTTAAATGTTTGGCAAATGTTTGTTAACAGATAGAAATGGGTGGTGAATAAGTATGTAATACTTGTGGATCCCACGAAATATGTGAATAAAAAGTGATTTGACTTTTAAAAAGAGTATATAAACACTTCTCAAACATTGGCATAAATAGTTTACTATATAACAAGTTAAGGTTTTAGATGGGATCGATCATCATAGTATCAAAGTGTAGGTAAACGTGGTGAATTCAAGTCTCGTTGCCAATTAAGAAAACTGTGCTAGTCAGACATTTGATGAAAAATTAATTTGACGTGTGTTGAACAATGTCATATAAAAACTTAAGCTGATAGATTAAAGACATGTTTACTTATTAAAATTTAAAACTTGATTCTCTTGAATAAGCCTTATCATGCGCAAACTAGATTCATTTTTTGTCAAAGACTTGAACCCAAAATTTTTACATGCTTTGGTACCATATTGTGATATTGAACCAACCATTCTCATCGAAAGAACTGTCGAAGATGAGACACATTTATTTATTTAGCTAGTCTTCAACAAACTGCCATGGCGGGGGAGGGGAGGGGAGGGGAGTGAAGGCTGAATTCAAGTCTAAATTTGTCGCCTTTCTAACATCTTAAGCTTTTAGTGAAAGTAGTTCAATGCTACTGCTAATACTCGTCTCTTATCTAATGCAGTTAGCAGGAAATGCTGCCAACTTGGTTCAAGATATGATAAAAACGACCTACGAGAAGGCAAATGAATGTTTAGATACTAATTACTATGGTGTGAAGAACGTAACCGAAGCTCTTCTTCCTCTGTTACAGCTTTCCACCTCTGGAGCGAGGATAGTGAATGTTTCTTCCTTAAGGAGTGAATTAAGAGTAAGCATATCATTATAACCAACCCCAACCTCAGGGGCGGAGCCAGGACTAAAAAATTCTAAAAATCTTATAAGTTGGGCTGATATTATGTATAAAAACTATTTTGTACAAGGGGAAAAACTAAATGGGCCTTGGGTTGACTCGGAAGGGTAGGTCAATTATGACTCTGAAGTTGACTAAATCTCTTCCTTATCTGCTGTTGTAGATGCGCGCGCGCACACACATACGAAAGTGAGATTTGAACTCTTATCCTAAGTTCTCAAATTCGATTTATGGACAATAATACCTGCCCTTGCCTGACCCTAATTTTCCAATGACTTTATAGTCCAATGTTATGCATCTTTGGGCTGTATAGACACATGAAGGGGGCGTCGAATAGCATTTACTCATCAGGCTTTATCCATAAAGGAGTGGATAGTAAAGTGGATTCGGTAGTAATAGGAAGAAAAAGAGGCTAAAATATAATTTATTATATTGTTGAGTCGTATTTAGTGCTGCTTACTAAATATGCAATAAAAAGTTATTTGGTAGTGATATAAGACCATGCAAACTTAAAATCGACCTTGTCTATTCTACTTCACCAAACATGCTATAAAGCCTCGGTGTCAGGTCAAAAAATCAACCATAAGAAGCTGAATCGAGTAAACGATGTAAAATTAGCCGAACTCAGCTGATACTTTTCATTTGTTATGCAGAGGATCCCTAATGAGCAGACTAGAAAAGAACTTGGAGACATTGACACTCTAACTGAAGAGAAAATTGACAAGATATTGCAAAGATTTTTGCATGATGTGAAAAATGATGAAATAGAAATGAATGGATGGCAAACAATGCTACCAGCCTACAGCATATCAAAATCCACACTGAATGCATACACTAGAGTTGTTGCAAAGAAGTACCCACAAATGTGCATAAACTGTGTCCATCCAGGACATGTCAATACAGATTTTAATTTGCATACTGGGACAATGACAGTGGAAGAAGGAGCTGAAGCTCCTGTCATGTTGGCCAGGGGCGGACCCAGAAAAATTTTTGAGTGGGGGCGGAGCCAACTCGTCTAAGTAGGGGGGTCCAAAGTTGAAGGGGTGGGGGCTCGAAAAAATTTTTTTCGGAGTTGTTGAATAGTTNAAGCTATATTCAAGTGGGAAGGAAATTTAACCATCCAACTCTATAAGATTGAAGAATATGTAACAAGATTAAAGAGAAAAAGATTACATACAAAACATGAGATTCACCAGATCCTGTCTGCATTCGAGATAGAAAATAAGATAAAAAAACTGTAAAAAAAAAATTTTTTGTTTTTTTTTTTTCAGTGGGCGGCCGCCCCCGCTGGGCCCTTCGTGGGTCCGCCCCTGATGTTGGCTCTTCTTCCCGATGGCGGTCCGACCGGACGCTATTTTGATCGAACTGAATTGGCCGAGTTTTGATGAGTCGTTTCTTACAATAAATACGAAACACATGCACGAATAGGCCACATCTACATGTAACTTCGACGCGACGTGACCTCTATTGAATTATGTATTTTGTATTTTATTTTATTTTTCAATAAGATTACAGCCAATGTTTTTTTGACCTTTCATGGTCCACGAGGCGGCCCATTTTGAGTTCTTCGAGTAGAAAATTTTGAACTCTGAAATCCGAATACAAAAACAGTGTGGATATAATCATAAAAAATAAATAAATTATTATTGCGAGAAATGCTTCATGCACAGAAGCAAAGCCAACAGAAATTTTACGGAATGCACACAACATGTGGGTCCCGCACATTTATTTATTTTTTAAATACACAGTGGGGTCCACCCACTGTGAGTATCTGTATGTTTTCTTTAAAAAAAAATTCTGTACAAATGGAATAATTCTAAGATTTAACTTATCACCAATAACTTGCTGCATAACAGGAGCACTTATTTTGCTCTCACGCAAAGCAAAGTGTTGAGATACTCTCAAATTACGCCCTTATCATGGTTCATGTTATATTTGTGAGGTGCACTTACCCTCAATGCGGTGTCGTGTGGAGAACTCACTTAAATATAAGGCCCTATTTGATGGACCATTTTTTCCTAGGAAAAAGGAAATCAATTTCCAACATTGCCAAAATGTAGTGTTTAATTGAACAAATTTGGCCAAGAAAATTGCCCGCCAGCACACACGCACCCACCCACGCGCCCATTTTCTTTGGATTTAGGGAAAAGGCTTTCCCACCATTTTGGTGGGAAATGCATTTTCCAAGTCTGACGTCGTTTTTTTTTTTTTTTGGCAATGAAAACAAAGTTCATAATCAATTATTAAAAAAATTCACTTTAATGGATAACTTTCATGTAAAACAAAGTCGAACGAACACTAAACTTTGATAAAAAAAAAGATTTTTTAGGAACTTTTTTTTTTCAACTTTTTTTTTTACTTTTTGACAATGGAAACAAATTTTATAACCAATTGTGAAAAGAATTATCACTTTAATGAACAATTTACATGTAAAACAAAGTCAAAAGAACACAAAATTAAAACATTTCCCAGGTGAAAAATTATAACAATTAAACACACTTATTAACAATTCCCTACAAAACAATTTCTAGGCAATTCCTTGGAATTCATTTTCTTTCCATCCATTTTCCACCATTCCAATCAAACAGACCCTAAAATAAAATAAAAATTCAAACGTAAACAATAATTTATTTTTTCATTTTCTTATTTTAGACGGTTTGCTTGATTTGGATGACGTGTACATTTATAGTATGTTTGGTATGTTACAAACGAGGAAAAGAGACGCGATATGTTTTATATATTGTATTGTCGACTTATATCATATTTAGTAATGTCCGTACATTTAGAATGTCTCGATGTGGGTTGCCTTGGGCTATGCATGGCCAGCAGGGCTGCTTGTTTCTTAAAATTTATATGTATTTTAATTGATATCTCAAAAAATATAGAAAAATTATTCACGAGGACGATCGTGGGCTTATGAAAAGTTAAGTGTAGCCTTTATGAAAAGCACGTTGAACCACGATATGTACCTTGTTAGATTGCTCGGAAATCGAATCGACTCACATTTACTCAATTACGCCCGTAATTATGCATGTAGATGATGTTTATACACGATCATAAAATACTTTTTTTCCATATTAAAGGTGGAGACTTCATTTGAATGCTAATACAATGATTCGAAGTATTAATTATTTTTTATAAGTAGTAAATTGCCATCGCCAAGTAGAAATTCATTGCAACATAATCAACGTACAATATATAAGGAACCATGTACTACATATTAAAGCTGTACCATGTGTGTAGCCAGCATACCTGGGAATCGAATTAAAACGATCTCCACCGTCTATTTGAAGGGATAGCATTATAAATAGGAGTAGAATTTGCTCCCGATCAAGCTTGACTACAAAGAAATTCCAGCATCTAAATATATAAACCCCTGTCTGATTTAGCTAAAAAAAAATTAATTAAAGACAAAGTGAACAATTAATTTTAATCGTACATATCATACGATCCAAAACTTTTTAACTAC